TATGGGTCACGGGTGTTACTAGACAACTCATCAAAAAATTTAGCATTATAAGTCATATGATCAAAAGCACCAGTGTCAATTATCCATGTATTAGAGCCAGTACCTGGAATAGAGTCAGAAACACGCAAATTTGCAGAAGCAGCAGAAGCACCAACAATGGGATTATCACCCATGATTGTAGCAGAAACTCAACAAATCACGCAGGGTATACAACAAATCACAGCACATACACAAATATGGCAGATGCACGAAGACAACAGAGGCACAAACACAGTAGAGGCAGATGCACGAACACAGTAGAGGCACAAACACAAGAACCCTAAAAGAAATTAGGGCACACAGTAGAACACGGGTGGGCACAATACACACAGGTCACCAGAAAGTCGGCTCTGATACCAAGTCAAACAATATGGGTAGAATATTTTTAGATATATTTCATTCTCCGAAAGGAGGTATTTATAATACAGGTTACAAACCCTAGTAGGGTTTAATTAGGAAATAAGTGGAATCCTAATTACATAATATCTATACAAAAGGAAAAATAAATAAAACCCAAATAGAATAGGATATATTCTACTCGCCAACATTCTAATTCATGATTAGTAAACACACCATAAAAGCAATATGAGATTGCACCAGCCACAAATCTATGCGAGTAAGAAAGAACTATCTTTTTTGTCAATTGTCAAAGATCTAGAGTTTGGTTTCGATACAGAAAGAATTTTTAATTAAAGACTATGACATGGTGGCCTTACTTATATAATTTCATTGAAGATGACATGTGTGAGGCTAGACTGTTAATTCAAAAGGATTAACATGTATTCTACTACGATTTGCGTAATTAGATGCTTAAAAAAGAAAGTTTTCAGTCTAGTGTGAGTTGCCTCTAATAACAATATTTGTTAGCTTATATTCAGTTAAGTTGTCACGTGTATGTTCCACTTAATTTGTTAAAGGTCTCAAGTTCGATTCATGTGAATACAAAGACCATAAAATTGAATACCTGAGTATATATGATTAACTCCATTTCATGACTATAGATATATAGACATGAAATGATACATGACCAGCTAGCTGCTATACACTAATTTGTCAGCCGTCCACACTGGCGGTCACGTAGTTGAGTCAAATATTCTTTAGTCATGCACGTCAAGCCAACCACAATTTTATTACGCAGGCTGCAGGGTAAAGAGGAATCCAAAGACTACTATTTATTTATTTATTTGTTAACTTCTTCAACAACAAAAAATTCATTTTGGACCAAAAACAACATCAGAATTTCGAGCGAATGTGATGTAACGCGATAAACAATACATCATTTTTTGTATAGTTTTATATGTATGTGTATGCATACGCATGATTTAAACAATTAATTCTGTAATCCTAATAATATGTCATAAAAAATGTAGAGCCATAGCAAATTTAATTCTATTATTAACACACATTGAATGATTAATAGGCTTTTGGATGGAAACTTATATAATAACAATGCTATGTTATTAGATAGTATGGTATATGTAAATATTTTCATTTTAATATGTAGTGTGAGATTCGCAGCTCAACAACATGTACTAAAATATTTAGGGTTTAGGGTAAGAAAAAAACACAAAAGCAATTTATGCATTCAACATCAACATGATGTAGCTAGTTTAGCTGTCCACCAAGTAATAATAGGGTTTGTCTAGGCATCCATGGCTTGCGTGTTGTTGTCTGTATTCTAAGAGCAACTCCACCCATTTGCTCCTTGCCATGGCAAGGGGGGAGCTAGGGCAGCCACTATTCACGTGAATAGTGGTTGCCATTGCAAATAGTATTGTGTGTTTCCACCCGTTGCCATGGCAAAGGGCAATTACTATTCAATTTTTTGTTTTTTTCACAAATTTGTTTACCTAAACAATTAATTTGGATAATATTTTCGAATAAGATTTTTGGGTTCGTACGTGTCAATATTTATTATAAAATTCATATCTCAATCGGATAAAATTTTGGTATTTATAGGAAAAAAAATTCAGCAATTTTTTTTCATTTTTTTATTGCACAAAAATTGGTTGCTGTTGGATTGGAGAAAAAAATCTGATAAGAAAATGTTACCAGCTGATCTCATCAGAAGGTATTTCACATGATACTACTAGTATAAGATTGATCCAAACCATGTGTTGTTGCAGGCAACTTTTTTTATAACGAAGATTTTGCAATCTAGTTGCTATCAATCTTAAAAGACAAAAACTTCATTTGAAACGCCATGGAAGTTCATCGGCTAATTACTGTTTGCTTTAATTTCAGGGGAATGGCAGTTGAGGATCCTACGGCTGAGCATGGGTTGAAGCTAACAATTACTGTTTTGAAAACCCCAGAAAATCTAATTCACATTTTGACAACCATTATTTGGGTAACAGCTGGGCATCATGCAGCTGTGAACTTTGGACAGTACATGTACGCTGGATACTTCCCAAACAAGCCTACAATTGCTCGTACCAATATGCCAACCGAAGATCCGTCTGAGGAGTTTTTCAAGAACTTTTTGAAGAAACCCGAAATGGCACTGCTGATGTGCTTCCCCTCACAGATTCAAGCAACAAAAGTGATGGCTGTCTTGGATGTGTTATCTAATCATTCACCTGATGAGGAGTATCTTGGTGAGAATCTGGAGTCATCCTGGGCTGAAAATCCTGTGATAAATGCTGCATTCGAGCGGTTCAATGGAAATTTGAAGAGGCTGGAAGGAATTATTGATGAGAGGAATACCAACTTGAAACTGAAAAACAGAGTTGGAGCAGGTGTTGTTCCATATGAGCTTTTGAAGCCATTCTCAACACCTGGGGTCACGGGAATGGGAGTTCCTAACAGCATCTCCATCTAAATTTGATGATGATGCTCTAAAAACTGTACGAGTACTTGGCCCTTAATAAATGAATGAATAACATGGGTTGCCTAAAAGTTCTGTTCAAAACTATTTTCGTTCCATCCCACTCTTGTTCCACTCAACTTGAAGTCATCAGATAATTTGTTGAGTGGAAGAAGTAAAAATGTTAATGGGACTAGAGACCATATGAAAGTGAATAAAATAAAATTGGAAATTGCATTTGGTAAGATAAATAAGGATAGATAATTATAATACAAAGAAGAACTGGACCTTCGGAGCAATTAATCAAATAAAGTCTCTGTGTGGAAAAGAGATTTGAAAATGCAATAGTAAATAATGAGAATATGGAGCATTGGATTTCAAATGTCCAATACCTTTGCCTATCTAGAACACTTTTGACAGTTGATACTATCAGCCTATAAGTTGGTTCGATTCAGTTTAGTTCTGATGTACAGTTGATACTACCGTTAAAAGTAAGCGTGGATCTGAGACATTACGTGCATTCATAATGTGTCAATCGCAATTTATATGATTTTGTCTCAAATAAATATTTCTGCTTACCTCGGACTCTCACCAAGCTCTAGGGATGGAACTTCTCTGACTGCCTCCTCCAGAACTCCCCTGACGTGATAATAAAGGGTGAACACATTTGGAATTCATGTAAGGGGATCCCTCTGCTAGCAGCTTATATGTGAGAGAGAACTGTTAAAGGTCTACATGTGACGGTTTAATTCCAAAATCAGGTCAAAATCAGGAAAGCGGTTTATCAAAAATTGCTTCCTTGATTTATCAATTAAGGTAAATAAATGTAGTGAATTTTGCATCAATGTACAGAGAGCATTACAAGAAAATGACAGATTTCCAAGAAAATTGAACCTGCTGCAATTGCTGCATGAAGAACCAGAACATGTGTTTTAACTCCAACATGATGCGAGCTTGCAAAAAATATATATGTATTATTACTGGAAATATGCTTATTTACATGCATGTTCTATAAATTATAATACACTGATGTAGCACAATAAATGAACGAAACCAAAATGGGGAAAATCTATCCTAAAAGAATATTTCCTATAAAGAATTAAAGAATTAGGGGACCTTCTTCGCCTTCTGCCAGCTGCTTATGAAAGTCCCAAAGTAAATCCAGGGGACAGGGAAGCTTCACGGAGTTTTTCTTTCCACAGAACCATATACTATATCGTCTTATAAGCATCCATTTGTCTTCCTCACTCGAATGTGCCCACAAAGGAAGGAGTGTGAGAAAAAATGTGAGCAAACTCACAAGTTGAGTGTGATGCTGTTGCTCTTAAAAACTGGCCATCCAAAGAACCATCATTGCCCTGCAGAAGAAACCCCTTTCCAGCAGGCTTAAATTCAAGAGATTTTCTGAGAAGTTCCAATTTGTCAATGAAGCAGGCCATTGCAGAGTTAACATCATGCTGGAAACCATCAGTAATGACTCACATATACGAATGAGTGCGAGAATCATTGCACATACACTCGGGAACAGGATACTTTGTGACATCTTTTCCAGCTCTGCTAGTCCTGAGGTCTGGCTGCCCTAAGGAGTCTTTGTGCAATTCCTTTATGATCCTATTGAACTCTGCTTCCGGGAGAGAAGAGTTCAGAAAATATGGAAGCATATGCCTTTTGTCTGGAGTTATATACTTTTTGTGGCCAGCATAGGCACGGTGGCCCTGAAAGAAAATACAAATCTTGGTGTAAGAGAAGTCCCCAGCAAATTAGGTAACCATCATGTGTAAAAGAACTACTCATATGACATTTTCATATTATTTGTCTTCCCAGCATATTTCCTCAACACAATTTTCTTTTTTCTATTAGCTGTAAACATCCTATATTCTGTAAGTTTTTCCAAATGGAAAAGGCAGGAAGTAACAATAATAGTAATTCATGACAAGGCCTCAATGGCACATCTCTTTTTTCTTATTCCAGACTGTTTCACCTCTCAAGAATTTTACGCATGCACAAAAACTTTTTTCATAGTATCTGTATTATATCTTTCTCAAATATTTCCTAGAAAATACAAAGGTACTCAGTCCAAATGTGTAAGATTGCCACCCTTCAACTCATGATATCATTTAACAATCTCAGATCAGTTCCGCAAGTATCCTTAAGTATTTTCTTTTTCACTTTCTTTCAACTTGATTTACTTTGGTCGTATAGTCGTGCTTTCTTGTACTTGTGAAGTATTTTATCTAGCATATATTACCTATCTGTTAAGACCAAAACAAATAAACTATACCTGGATAGCATGGCCCATATTTCCCCCATGAGACGGCATGAAGACATCACTATTCTCGGAAACTATGTAATCAATGGCCGCCATGACAGAAGCTCTATTTGAAAAAGGTTCTAGTTCGCCAGGCAAAGCAAGATCTTCCTTATTGTAAAAATGAGGAAATTCTCCGGTTAATGGCAGCAAGGCTTCTTTTCCACCAAATGGAGGCCCTCCAGCCCAATATATTCTTGCATTTTTCGGAGCTCCTAGAGCTTTAAGCAACCTAAACCACAAAATTTTGCCCGTTATAAAACTCTCTGATACATAGAACAAATAGGATAATAGATATCAAATTGGTTTATGTTAAAATGCCTTAAAGTAAATACATATTTGGCTAACATTCTTACCTGGTCACCTCCAAGGCATTCAGGGGGCAGAGACCTGCAAGTTTTCTTTCATGGTACGTCATGTTTGATCTTCCAGTTAGGAGCTCTGGCCGCTGTATCCTCTCATTGTTTACTATCTCATCATATTCAGGGCTCAAACCAGGAAGGCAACCAGTCCTCACCCATACATCCTTCTCCATTCTGAGATGAAGGGCAAGGTAAGGTCCCTTACTGCTCATCCTCTCTGCAAGCTTGTTACCAATTCCCAAAATTGGAGGAGCAAACCTCAATGCATGAAAGGCAACCTGATGTCAAACAAAGAAGAGATTAGAGTCAGCTGTCTCTAGAACTAGAACCTCCTTTCATTTCTGTAATCAAAGTTACAGATTTATTCACGACTGATAAAATCTAAAGGCTGTCAATACAGTAGAAATGTAGTCAATTATTTTCCATCATACCAGGTAAAACAAAAAGAAACAAAGTCAGCTTGCATATACAAAGGAAATTAAAGACGTATTTCACACATTACCTTGCATCGAAGTTTTTGAAGATCAGATGGAAGATCCTTAGAGAGCCTTGAATCCAAGCCTCTTAGAAGCAAAACCCCTTCTCTTTTAATCTGCAAAGAAAAAGAGGAATTAGCATAATTTGTAGTGCTGATTCGCATTCCACAGGAGATTTGTTCTAACCACACATGACAAAACAGATAATCATCACTAAAAAATCATGTTACTGAAATCAACAAACTCAAAATTATTATAATTTTTAGCATAAGATCAGAAAACCTTGCACTCGTCATTAGTTGTTAAAATGATAAGCAGCACATGAGATTTACCTTTCCAGAACACCCGTATTCAACTACTATAATTAGATAATAAGTACAACATTTTAGGCATTGGATTGGACTGGACGGCTCTTCAATTGTGTGATCACAGCACGGTTAGAGTATAGTAGGAACAATAGTAAAAACGAAAAGATGAGAACAGCAGATCAAAAGCTGACACTTGTGTAGGAACGCACCAGCAAAAACAAACAACCAAACAAAACCAAAACGATTGTGTCGCAAGGCCCACAAACAAGTTTAAGCTCCATACATAACAAACTAAGCCAAAGCATCTTTTCTCTCTTTCATATTTCCTTTATTCAAATGTTTTGAAAAACAACATAAATCTTTTGAAAAACAACACGGTTGCTTAATTGAAAGCAAGCACAAAGACAGCAATGATTCTTACCCTCTTGAGATAACGTGACCGAATCCAATTAGGTGAAGCATGAAGGGGAGTCCGTTTCTCCTCCACCGGCCTTGTCATTATATGTGTCGATGGCAGTGAAGAAACTATACGAACATCATTGGCAAGAACTTTCTTGAAGTGCTCCAAATCAAAGATATCAGAAAATTCACTGCACCCATAAAATAAGACACAGAAATAAACTCTGAGTCTCCTAAACAGTATAGCACAATAGAAATCAACCATAAACCAACAACAACAAAGCACAAACTCATTAAATGAAGATATCCTTTTAGTTAGGAAAATGTGAGTTGTAGTATTCTTTACCTTTCATCTCCCCAAATAACATTAACTTGCAAAATGGGAACAACCAAAGCAGCCCCAAGAATCCTAGCAATAACCACAGCATCAACAATCTGATTCCTTTGCTGGTTCATCCCACCAGAAACAACAACAATCAGATATTTTGTCTTATCCTTCACAATACCTACGCTAGCTTTCTCATACTCATTGCTCAAGGCCAAGCACGGCCGATACCCCAAACCATCCGGTTGCTTCCAAAACTCACTTTGCTCAGCTTCTTCAACACCCACCTCTGATTTCAAATTCCCATTTGAAAGCAACGGCTGTGAATGGCTCACACTGTTGAAAACCTCAACTTGGTGACTATTTTCACCATTTGAAGCAATAGCCATATGTGATTTTAAATGCCCATTAGAGACCAAGTTCTGTAACTGACTTGTGGTACATGGGTATGGAGAATATGGGATCAAAGGGTCAAGGTTGAGTCCCAACTTCAGCATACCAAGAAAGCCAAAGAGAAACAGAAATAAAACCCAGAACTTTGGGCTCCTGTAGTTGGTGAACCAGCTCAAGTACCTGTTTTTACTCCTTGAAGATTTCTTAGGTGAAAGAAGGAGCGATTGCAGAGAAGATGAAGACAAAGAATTGATTATCTGAGAAGGGACTGAAATGTAAGAAAGCTTCTTAGTGTTGTTGTTCTTTGACTTGGCCATTGATAGGATAGGCTGAGAGCCAGAGAAGCTCTGTTTCTTCTACTTCGAAAGAAAAAAGAACAAAAAAATCTGATATTGTTTGCGTGTTTTCTGTATTTATGAGCTTCCTTTACTCTCTCGCATTGACCATTCAGAGGGAGAGAGAGAGAGAGAGAGAGAATGGGTCTGAAACAGGCGGCGGGAACACGAAAGTCTGAACGCGTTTACGTTTATTTAT